TAAGGTCACTCATGAGAAAGTGGCTGAGCTGGAAGATCAGATCTATGAAAGAACAATTCTCAGTGGCTGTGGCTTTCCCGAGCTGGTTTAAGTAGATAAACCAGAATGTTTTGTACCAAGTTGTTACTGAAGGCTGGTACCCGCTTATCTTATACCGTCCTTCATGGCCAAGAATGTTTCTCATATCCTCCTTAGGAGCTCCTTTTGTGCTTTTTAGACCAGTGGTTCTCAACCTCCTTAATGCCCCGACCCTTTCCTACAGTTCCTCATGTTGTGCTGGCCCCCAGCCATAACATTATTTTCATTGCTACCTCATAACTGTCATTTTGCTACTGTTATGAATCGGGAGACCCCTGTGAAAGGGTCATTCGACCCCCAAAGGGGTCGAGACCCACAGGCTGAGAACCACTGTTGTAGACCCTGAAAGGCCCCACCTCCTCTTTTTCTCCTAAACTTTGTTTCTTTTGTTGCTTTCTATCTTATCTTTCTAGTTGAACTAAGCTATTGCTTGGTTTTAAAGTGACTTCATGGGATATTTTTCGGTTTAAGGCAATCATGTCAGGGAGTCATCTAACCTGCTGGGACTCCGGAAAGGCTGGATTCCGTGGCAGTTTGGAATTTTGTTGTGCACGACCCCCCTTTTGATCAACATTCTTCTGTAGACTCTTTAGTTAAAATGATCAATAATGGTAGCTGGGCACTGTGCCGTTATTTAGCAAAGGAGGAAGTTATCCATGGGGGCAGTGAGCTACACATTCCACATCCTTCTCCTATGCCTAACTCAAGAGCCCTTGTGGCATAGTGGTTACGCATTGACTGCTAACCACAAGGTCAGCAGTTCAAAACCACTAACCACTCCATGAGAGAAAGACGGGGCTTTCTATTCTCGCAAAGAGCTACAGTCTTGGAAACCCACAAGGGCAGTTCCACCCTGTCTTACAGGGTCACTGTGAGTTGGCATGGACAGGAGGACAGTGAGCTTTTGTTTTATTTTTCCGATTCCTAACTCCTCCATTGTTGCTTTAGGTAAATAGAGACCAGTTGTTGTACCTTGTATGACCACTTGCAAGCTTTTAAGACTCCAGGTTTTATGCAATAAACTGAGCGGTAGGAGAAAACACCACCAGCACCTCACTGCCGACTCTTAGCCACCCTATAGGACACGGGAGAGCTGCCCCTGTGAGGTTCCGAGACCGGCACTCTTTATGGGAGGAGGAAACCCCATCTTTGCTCTGCGGAGCAGCTGGCGGTTTTGAACTGCTGACCTTGTGGGTTGCAACACAACTCATAACCACTATACCATCAGGGCTCTTTAAGTGATAGAAAAAAGCACTGAATATGTGATTAGGCCAATTAACGGGGCTG